TTTCTGAGTCTGTCGATGTGATGGATTGCAGTAACTGATTTTTGAATGTCGAACCAGCCTTGCGTACCCAGGATAAATCCCATTTGGTTACGGTCTATAATTCTTTTTATGCTTTTTGGATTAGATTTGCTAATGTTTCGTGGAGGGTTTTTGCATCTATGTTCATGAAGGATACTGGTCTCTCGTATTCTTTTCTTGTCAAGCCTTCGCCTGGTTTTGGCGGTGAGGGGATGCGGGCCTCGTAGAGCGAGTCAGGAGGAACTGCGCCCTCTGCGTCTGTCCCCTGAGAGAAAATGTAGGGAACTGGTGTCATTTCTAACTTACATATTTAGTGGAACATATTTAGTGGCCTGGCGATTTCTGATTTGGAAGGTTATTATTGGTTCAGTTTCTTTAATAGATATAGGCCTGATCAGATCATCTCTTTGTATAAGTTTTTGCAGGTTGTGTCTTTCAAGAAATTGATGGTTTTTATCTCAGTTATCAAATTTGTGGTCATAGGGTTATTCATCCCTTTATTACCCTTTTAATTTCCATGTCATCTGCGGTGATGTCCTCTCCTTTATTTTTTGTAACTGGCATCCCATCCTTTTTTCTTACTTAGCTGCCATAGAGGCTTATTGATTCTTTTCAAAGAACCACATTTTGGTGCTCTTGGTTTTCTCTATTGATTTCCTATATACAATTTCATTGATTTTTGCTCTAATTCTTATTATTTATTCTGCTTGCTTTGGATTTAAGTTGGCTTTCCTTTTTAGCTTCCTAAGGTGGAACTTCAGAATATTGATTTGAGACCTTTCTTTTAATGTACACATTCAGTGCTATCGTTTTCCCTCTAATCACTAGTTTCCCTGCCTATAACAACTTTTGATATGTTGTATTATAGTTTTCATTTAGTTCAAAATATCTTAAAATTTCTATTGAGATTTATTCTGTGACCCACATGTTATTTAGAAGTGTGTTGTTTAAATTCCGAGTATTTGGGGATTTTCCAGGTAAATCTATAATTCATTTCTAGTTCAATTCCACTTCAGTCTGGACATTGTATGATTTGTAATCTTTTCAATCTGTTAAGGCGTGTTTTACGGCCCAGACGGTGGTCTGTCTGGGTGAGCTTCCACGTGAGCTTGAGAAGGATGTATGTTCCGTGGCTGTCGGACACAGCAGTCTGTAGGCGCGTATCGTATCTGCTTGGTCGATGGTGCTGCTGAGTTGCACTGTGCCCACCCTGAGTTTCTGCCTGAGGGACCGGTCCACTTCTGACAGACGGTGTTGAAGTCACCAACTATGGCAGCTGTTTCGTCTGCTTCTCCCTGCGCTTCTATCTGGTTTTGTGTCGTATGGTTTGCTTTGTGAGGTGCATACACAGTGAGAATTGTTGTGTCTTTCTTTTTGGAGAAGGGACTCTGTTATCATTACGTGACGTCCTTCTTCATCCCTGGTAACTCTCCTGACTCTGAAGTCTGCTCGTCTGAAATTAATTCAGCTACTCCTGCTCTCTTTTGATTAATGTTACTGTGGTATATTTTTCTTCATCCGTTTCTTTATAAGCTATACGTGTCTTTATATTTAAAGCTTCTGGTAGACAACATATAGCTGGGTTGTGTTGTTTGCTCTATCTGTCTTCTAATGGTGCATTCCAGGGGTGTCAAACTCGTGTTCACTGGGGACCACATCAGCCTCGCGGCTGCCTTCAAAGGGTCGAATGTAACGTTAGGACTGGATAACTGTAACTACTCCTCAACAGTTAAGCGAGAGCTCAGAGCTGCCGCCAGGTAGAAACAAGGTGGAGGGCCGGACTTGGCCCGTGGGCCTTGTGTTTGACACCTGTGCTTTAGACCATTGACCAAGAGATAGTGATATAGTTGGATTAATATCTACCGTATTCATTACTGTTTTTTATTTGTTGCCCGTGGTTTTGTTCCTGTTTTTATCTTCCACACTCCTTCTGCTCTTTGTGTCCAGCCCTTTTCATACAGTTATATATAATAACTTTGATCTTTTCGAGTTACATAAGTGATATTCGTTTACTGCAAAGTCATTCAAACAGTACAAGCATGGTCAGAAGTAAAAATTATTATTTAAAAAAAAATGGTGATTCCAGCCCAGAGGAGCCTCCTACCCGAGGCTGAGCAGGCAGATGGGAGGGGTGGCAGGGTAGGAGGGCGGGGGGTCGGAGGGCGGCGGGGTCAGGGCCCAGAGCTGGGCATGGGAAGGCTGCAGCATCTGGAGGATGAGAGCTGCCCTGCAGGGCCAGTGCCAGGAGAAGCACGTAGGCAGGGCAGGGCGTAGGAGGGGCGTTGAGCTGCTGAGAAGAAAAAGTTCATTGTTTTCTCTGTCGTAAGGTCCACTTCCTAGGAAAGGCATTATTTCCAGGGAGGGAACTTCAGGAGATATTTGATAAGCAAGTGCAGCCAAATGTGTGTGGTTAAAGTGCAATCCCGTATTTATTTGTTTGTCAGGGCTGTGTATAACCGGCTTCCGGCTTGGACAAGTTGTTTTGACCCTGATGCCCCGGGCTCATTCAGGCCACTTAACACTGTTTACCTTTCAGGGGGGTAATGTGCCTGATCCAGCGATCAAGTGCTTTTGTGAGCTCTGCAAATAGCGTGCAGTGTGGGTGAGCTGTCTGGGTGTTCTGTGTCACAGTGGTCAGCGTCTGCGGGCCGGCTGCTTTCTTCTGCCCCTCCAGTGGAAGAGAGAGAAACTTTGGTGATCCAACTCCATGGAGAGTCCTTGCGGAAGGGAGGAGCTTAAAGCTGCTGAGAGCCTTATGTTAGCATAGGTTCTTTAATTTGGGTGCCCGGCTGGCACTGGGCAGGCACAGACACCGAAAGGCAGCGGCCTAGACCCTGCTGGGTGTTAGAATTGTTAAAAATTGGGATGCCCAGCTCATGCCAGGCCAGTCATATTGGGTGGGTCCATGCAGTGTTACGTTCTAAAGCTCCCCAGGAGATTGCAGTCTGGGCCCCAGGTTGGGAAGCAGTTCTGCAAAGGGCAACGCTGGCTGGGCCTGGCCTGCCTCCAGCCTTCTCAGCAGCGGGTGGGCAGGGCTGTGGCTGCTCGGGCGCAGAGCCCTGGGAGGCACCGAGACCTGAATGTTGCCGATGTGGTTACATTATTTTCAGAGTTTCTGCGGTTCTGGAGTACTGCAAACATTTGTTCAAATGTCACTATATAAGTTTTTTAAATCATCATGGGAGGACTAACATAGTCAAAATGTTACACAGCAAAGTTTAGCATACTGAAAATAGCTGATGAGCTGCGGTCTTGATGGCTTTCAATAGAGAAATGAAGGCTGTAGCAGAATGTGTCAAGTGAGTCCACAGGCCACTTTGTTCTGCTGCTGTGTCGCCCCCCACCCCACTTCTTTGTTTCCCATTTCTACTGCTGGAGCTGAGAGGGGGCTCGGTGGAGGTTTTGTCTAGGAGAAGAGGTTCTGTACATGTAAGAGTTTACAAGCCACAAGCCTTTCCTTGCAGGGTCTGTTTGAAAGTCCGGGGTTTTGCATGTTAGATCGGCGTGCTTGGAACATGGGGGTGGGGGTGGGGGCTGAGAGCTGAGCCCACCGGACTGGAGCCCCCCGGGCTGCTCACGGGCTGGATCCACTTCAGCTAGGTTTACACCAGGGCGGCCGCGGGCTGTGGTTCCATGTGGGAGGGGAGTGGGCTGCAGCGGTGGGTGGCCCAGAGAGGGTGTCATTGTCAAATCCTGTCCTCTGTGGATCCTGAGGTACAGAATATTCCAGCCAGAAGGGGTCTCAGCTCTTCACTGAGCACAATTATGGGCTAGGCCCTGTGCCGGGGGCTTTAAGGACTGTTTCTTACTCAGTCTCTTCGATGACCCCGAGGCACACATTAGTGTCCGCATCTGACAGATGAGGAAACTGGGGCCCAGAGAGACATGAAGTGACTTATCCAAGGTCCCAGTGAGTGAGGGACAAAGCCAGCATTGGCACGCTTGCCAGTCCGCTGCTGTGCCTTCTTAGAAATCACTTCGGAGATGAGGAGATCGAGGTCCCGAGGGGAAAGCATCCTGTCCAGGAGGACACAGCTGGTTCCAGTTCCCAGCATCGCTGCGTCCAGACCTGGCCTGCTGTTTCCCCACACTGCTGCCCAGGGCGAGGCCAGCGGGCTGTCCCTGCCCGCCTTCTCAGGGGCTCAGGCAGAATCAGAGTTGTGCTGGCAGGGAATGGGAAATGAAACCCACGTGTCTCCCCGCCCCCAGTCTGCCAGGAGACCGAGTTCAGAAGAACATGGGGAAGGTGGACAGAGGCCACCCTGGGGAAGCATGTCCCAGCCGGAAGGTGGGGCCGGTGGGCAAACCAGGGCTGTGATCCCAAGGGCAGCCTCCCTTTCTTCTCACCCGTCTTCCCTCTCAGTTCCCTCTGCGGTCAGTGTGTGGGCATCTGGGCTGCAGCACCCGCAGGAGCTCGGCTCTGCCCCGTTCACGGTGGGCAGAGGAAGTGAGGACTGCTCCTCTGTGGGGCATGCTGGGAGCCTCGACTTCTGAGAAAGAGGGGGCAGCACCGAAGAAAGGGCCCCATCCCGCCCCCCTAGCCCCATGATCGAGAAAGGAGTGTTTTGTCTCAGCCAGATGCAGGAAGGTTGCCTTGTTCGTTTGTGTCTGAATGTGTGGCAAGGATTCAACTTTTCCTGCTCGTTTTAGTAAAAACCCTCACAAACAGCATTAATAAGTAGTTCTAAAATGCCACATAAATGACAAAGAGAGGGGCTAAGTGACATTCCCAGGGGTCAACTGCTGAATAAGCAGCAGAACCACATCCTTGCACAGATTCCCCTGTATGCCAGTGAGGGACAGCGCTTTACACGGAGCGTTCTGATTAATATTCATAGACCACAGGACGCCTCGGAAAGGGCCAGTGAGCTGTTTAGGTGACTGTCGTGTCACGCAGGTAGCAAGCCCTCGGAAGGCTGCTGCCCGCTCCGCGTTTCGGTCTGAGCGGTAAGCGAGCCTTTTGTGCGCGTGTGTCCCCGCAGGAGCAGTGGCAGCTCAGCGTCTCGTCGCCGTGCAGGAGGGGCCCTTGTACCGCACGGAGGGCTCCCACGTCACCATCTGGTGCAACGTGAGTGGCTTCCAGGGGCCTTCCGAGCAGAACTTCCAGTGGTCCATCTACCTGCCCTCGGCCCCCGAGCGCGAGGTCCAGATCGTCAGCACGGTGGACTCCTCTTTCCCCTACGCCATCTACACCCAGCGTGTGCGCAGCGGGAAGATCTACGTGGAGCGGGTGCAGGGGGACTCGGTCTTGCTGCACATCACCGACCTCCAGGCCCGGGACGCGGGGGAGTACGAGTGCTACACGCCCAACACCGACGAGCAGTACTTCGGGAGTTACAGCGCCAAGATGAGCCTCGTGGGTAAGGAGACGGCCGTGTGCGTGCGGTAGTGTCCCACCTGGGTGGCGCGGTCAGACCGAGCGGCTCAGACTACGGGCATTCGTTCCACATAGTCTGGATGCTGGGGGCCAGCCTGGTCAGCTCTGCTTGGTGGGACCCCTCTGCTCTGGTGGGACCCCTCTTCCAGGCTGCGGACTGCCGACTCCTCACTGCACCCTCGTGTGCTGGACAGGGCATGAGGGCACTCGTCCCATTCATGGGGTGGGGGCTGAACCCTCATGACCTGCTCACTCCCCATAGGCCTCCTCTCCAGATACCACCACCCGGGGACTGGGTTTCCACTTACGAATTTTGCAGGGGATATAAACATTAAGTCCATAACACTGAGTTATTTCTTTCAGAGCACAACTTTAAATGACTTAAAAAAAAAAACCCTCAAAAACCTCCCCACATATTTCAGAGATCAGCCAGTAACGTAAATGAATCAGGTTTGTGTCCCTCTGTACACAATAATAGAAGGTTGTGGCTGAAGCTTAAAAAGATCTAAAGCAGATGTTGCAGATCTCAGAGGAGGCTGGCCGGCCCTCTGGCTGGTGGAAGGGGATCTGAGAATGCAGGGCAAGGATGTTTGTGGTCGAAGATCTGGAGAAATGACGAGGATGACGAAGTGTGTGACACCAGCTGGAAGAGAGGCGGGACATCTCGGAAACGGGCGTTTGGACTGGCTCTGAGGTGCCCGGGTATCGCCAAGCCAGGAAGTGAGCGCAGCTGCCATCCCTATCCAAACTGGGTGTCCGGAGGTCCCGGCCCTGTGAGTGTGGCCCCGGCTGGCCCCGTGACCCCCGAGCGATGGAGGGATCTCAGTGGGAAGGGCCAACACTGTCTGGGCCATTCTCTTTTGCTGCCCAGGTCATAATGTCCAGGCTTGATTGTGATGGTGGAACTGGACTCGGTGACCCCTCCCATTGGCGAATGCTGCCATCGCCCACTCCCTCCACCTCCAGCTTCCTCAGTGACTTCTTTCTCTGACTAGTCTGAACCCCAGCAGGAGGCCTGTACCCCACGTGCAATGGGTGTAGCGAGAAAGCACACGCTGGCTGTCCTCATCAGCTGGGGTGGGGTGTCAAGTCCCCAGGGGAAAATGCTGACCGAGGGACCACAGGGGACCCTTCACTTGCCTGCGTCATCCTCATACTGTGGCTTCCTTCTGGTGTAGACCACCTGGGCAGGAGAATGATGCAAAAACAACCCATTAAAAAATCAGGATGATGATGCTTCTCGCTACCAAATTAATTAATTAATGTATGTATGTATGGTTAGGTACTTATTTATTTTTTAAAATATTTATTTTTAGAGAGAAGGGAAGGGAGGGAGAAAGAGAGAGAAACATTGACGTGTGGTTGCCTCTCATGTGTCCCCGACCAGGGACCTGGCCCACAACCCAGGCACATACCCTGACTGGGAATTGAACCGGTGACCCTTTGCTTTGCAGACCCATGCTCAGTCCACTGAGCTACACCAGCCAGGGCTGTACTTAATTATTTTTATTGTGTCTTTTTTTCCCATTACCATTTATCCCCCTTATATCCCTTCCCCTCCAAATGTGGGGTGTGTGTGTGTGTGTGTGTTTAAAGCAGTGCAATGCGTTGCTGAAATCAGTGGGGAGGGGATGTGGGGAGGTGGCTGGAAGGGAGGAAAAGATGAAGTTGTGCAGAAACATCAAACTCCCCAAGTTCCAGGAATGATTTCCATTTGAAGATCTTTCAGAAGCCAGTTTCAAGTATCCTGAAGCAATACCAGAATGAACAATAAAACCCAATTTCATCTAAAAGAGAATGGTTTTTACAAAGAATTTTCAGGGAGTTCACTTATGTACAATGAAGTACAACCTACCTTCTGTCTGAGTGTTAATAAAATAGCCAAGCAGGTGAGAGTAATTGCGTAAAACGTGCCATCGAAATCCGAACCGGAAGCTGCTGTTTCGGCGCCATCTGGGGTTGCCCGCGGCCTCGCAGCGATGGTGGAAGGCTGCGTGGCGTCGGCTCCGACTCCTGACAGCCCTGTGGATGCGTCATGTCCACAGTGTCCCGTCTTCCCCAGCCCTGCTCGGCTGCTGCAGACTTGAGCCTGGGGCTTCTTTTATGGCTTCCGCCCATCTCAGGCCCGGTCTTCCTCTCTTCCTGCTGCCTTCCGTTTTCCCAGCATTCTCTGGGGTGCCCACAGTAGGACAGCTTCCGGTCTGTCCCGGGGCGGGTTCAGGCTCTGCGTCTTCGCTGTGACCGGGCGTGTGTCTGTGTTGCAGTGATCCCGGACTCCCTGCAGGCCGCTGCCATACCCCAGACCCTGCACAAGGTGGAGCAGGACCCTCTGGAGCTCACGTGCGAGGCGGCCACCGAGACGTTCCAGCACAGCCACCTGTCTGTGGCCTGGCTCCGGCAGCGAGGCAGCGAGAAGCCCGTGGAGGTCATTGGCCTGAGCCGGGACTTCACGCTTCACTCCAGCAGCGAGTATGCCCAGCGGCAGAGCCTGGGGGAGGTGCGGCTGGACAAGCTGGGGAGCAGCACCTTCCGCCTCACCGTCTTCCACCTGCAGCCTTCCGACCAGGGCGAGTTCTACTGCGAGGCCGCCGAGTGGATCCAGGATCCCGACGGCTCGTGGTACGCCATGACGCGCAAGCGTTCCGAGGGAACCGTGGTCACTGTGCAGCCCACAGGTCAGTCTCTCGTCCTCCCCCTGGTGGCGAAGGTGGTCAGACACGGGGAGGGCGTGCAGACGCCTTCTTCAGCGGCCTCTGCAAGCATGCTTGGGGTTCACGGGCAGCTGGAGATGGTCCGGCTTCCTCCAGCCAGAGGAAGCTGAGGGAGGTATTGACCCCAGGGACCCTGAGACCCACCGGCCAGCGAGTCTCAGAGAGGAGCTGCCTGGGCTGACCCTGGTGATAATGGGGGCTCCACAACCTGCACAGAGTCTGTGGCTCCTTTACCCTACGGCAGTCTTACCCTTTCTTGAATGACAAGTTCGTTTTAAACGTTGGGAGACGTCACAGAAACTGTGTCCTCCGACTGGACTCCTGTTAGCCCGTGCCTGCCCACTCTGCGGGCATCGCCTGCCTCTGGGAGCAACCCTATTTCCAGAACATTTGAGAGTAGGAGCCTTCCAGCACAGGCATGACATCTTGAGCTAGAGACATTTTGGCATAAATTGTTATTTTTTGTATTATTTCATTGGTGGTGTTGTAGGGTTTCCCCAGTGCTTTGTCACGTGTTCCCGGTTCTTCAGAAGTTCTGGAAGGGAAGTCGGTGATGGGGAGATGCTGTGCTTGGGGGCCTGATGGCGGGGGCCCCCGGGAGGAGTCCCAGGGCACTTCGCAAGGCCAGGCCCAAGAGCCCTGGGTGCCACTGTCCCTGTCTTCTCAAGGGAAGACCTAGAACTGGGATTGCCTGAGGGCTGGGTGCAGGTGGTGGGTGCACTGGGAGCTGAGATCCTCCTGCTTCTCCTATTGTTCCCCCCCACCCCTCCCCGTGTCCCACCGAGCTCCCTATCAGAGCCGAGAGCTCCTGCTGGTGCCTCCACGGGGCTGGGGGCAGGCTCTCATGGGCCTGGGGTCGCCTGGCTTTGGTTGAGGGTGGTCATTGTGCCATGATGAGGTGTCGTGAGTGGCCCAAAGAGCCTCCCTTGTGTTCTGCTGACCTCAGGTGAGTGGAGTGTGGTTTATGGGAGCAGCGGTGGGACCCCTGGGCAGTGTCCGTTTCCTGACCTCCCTCTCCTGTTCGCTGTGGCAAGTAGCCTGGGTCTGTACAGAGTTCTGCCGCCGTTCTGGAGCAGGGCTTCCGACCTACCTACAAGTGCAGCTTCCTGGGCCTGCCCAGCCCAGAGTCCTGAGTCAGGCTGTGGGCCGGGGCCTGGGAGGCTGAGTTTCTAGCACGCTTCCCAGGTGAGTTTGCAAGATCTCTCTTCTGTTGAGCAGAGCTCTGGGGGCAGCAGGGCAGCCGTGATTCTCTGGACATCAAGTGGGTGTGAGGGCTTCTGTAAGAAGGGTTGGGCTCCTCAGTAGGGAGCACTTTCTTTGCTCCCTGGGACCCAAGCTTTTAGCAGCTTCTGGATCTTCCAATACTAAGAAATCTACAGAAGGCACTTCATTTCATATTTATCTTTTCCCTCCTTGGATGGTTTTAATATGAGTTTCAAAAGTCTGGACCAAATTTTGAGTCTTAATGCTTTCAAATTAGATTGCATCAGCTAATCTCCTTTATTTTAATCTTACCAATTTGGAATTAGGAGTCTTTGAATTTGCCCAGCAAACGTATCCAGACTAAGCCAGCCAAGGAAAAGCTAGATGGAATAGAAGGTGATGACTTCACTCCGGGTCCCTGTGCAGTTCTGGCTCAGAGCCTGCAGCCGCAGCGCGGCCTTCTCACAGCGCATCCCAGCAAGCACCTCGTGGGCCCTTGCGGCACCGGGGGTGCGGCAGCAGCTCTGGGGGTCCAATTGGTTGCTGCACCTGGGAAGCTCGAGGGTGGCAAAGCTGGCGGCCGAGTGGGGTGTGCTGAGTGCCACACTAGGGTCATGCGTGTGTAGTGCACTTTGGGAAGGCCGTCACTGAGGTGCCCCCACAGCAGCAAGTTCCCCCAGATGGGGCAGTTGCTATGGCACACCCAGGAAATCCAACATGTTCGGTGCCTTGAGCCGAGTCCAGAGGCCTGACAAGGGAGCAGGATGAGAAGCACGAGGCTGTTGGACCTGTGGCCAGCAGGGGGAAGTGGGGTCCGGGCTGTGAGGGGTCAGTGGAGACAGGGAAGGTAGCCGGAAGCCCCGTGTGCTATGATGTGCACCTTGGCCTTGACTCTGCGGACCAGGTATTTTCAAGCTGTTCTTCTTGGAAGCTTAGAACCCCCTTAGAGATGTAAGGTCAGGCGTGGGTCACCCCTTGGTGCAGTCCCCCCTTGATTCAACCAAGTGCTTTCTATACTGGGCAAAAAAGATTTTGTATGAAAAAGGAAGCCCTGACCCAAGAACAATGGCGTCTGCGGTGCGGGAGAGGGACTTAGCGGAGAGTCCCGGTGGCTGCCCCTCCGCTCTCTCCCCAGGGCCGCAAACCCCAGTCTCCCCATGCAGGACTCGGGCCTGCTCTGCCCCCTCCGCCGGAGCCCGGGTGCCCCGGACCAGGCTCTCTAGAGACCACACTCACGTCTGTCCGCTCCTGGCTTCCACTGGTATGCACTCCAGTGCTTCTCCAGCGGAGGTCAGCCGACATGTGACACGTCATGAGGACACTTGGGCAATGGGTGGGGACAGCCTCGAGCTGAGGACCTGGGGCCTCCAGCCAGCAGCCGCATGAGTATGCAAGGAGGGTCCTTCAGCTGCAGCCAAGTGTCCAGGTGGCTGTAACCTCACCTGACACCATGTACTGGTACTGTTGTGGGTGTGGGTGTTGGTTGTGGGGTGTTAGTTGGAAAGAAGCCCGTTGTGCTCATAGAGGCAATTCTCAGTGCAACGTAAATTGTTTTAACGCACAGACAAGATGAGGGCGTGTTGGGAGAGTAAAAACATAGTAAATCCAACGAAGACTTTGCAGTGCTGGACAGCAAAGATGTTCCAGAATGAGAAACTCAAAGATAATGGCACCTCGTTAGAGTAAAAGAGAGGTCAGCAAACCGTGCTGGTGCCTGGACAGCCTGTGTTGTTTTGTTTTGTTTTTGATAAACTGCAGATGTCATGACATTGAAAACAAAAGGCAGTCCCCCCATAAGTACAGTTTGAAAACCGCTGCTGCAGGCACCTGGGGACAGAGGGGTGGAGAGTGTCACTCAGGGCGCCACCCAGGCAAGTCTGGGTCTCAAGTAAAGCACGGAGGCCACCTAGAGGTTGGCTAAACAGGTTGGGTCTGATTCGAGAGGCCGGGTAAGGGAGAGCCAGTAAGAGCGGGGCTGGGTGAGTGCCTGTGGCCCGGAAGGGAGGCCGTGAGTGAGCGCTGGAGGCCAAAGGATGGGGGGGGGGCACCGTGGAAGGGGGAGTGTGACTGTCTGGGTGCCAGGGCTGGGACTCAGGGTGAGCCCGCGAGCTGTGAGGAGGAGACGCAGAGTCCTGCTCCAGAGTCTCGGCTTCCCCGTGAGTGGCAGTGCTGGCTGTCTTTTTTTTTTTTATGTAAATGTGAGCCCAGGTGTCCTTACTGAAAGTAGACTCTTCTTATGGTTGCTCCATATGTGAAACACCCAGTGTGTCATAGGACATAGAGCTCGGTTAGATTTGAACTTGGGAGTGATGAGGGCCTGGGAGAACAGCCGCAGGACAAAGTGCTCAGGGGTGCAGGTCCCCGTGAGAGGGGGACACCGAGTGGCCTGGCAAGAGGAGAAGCAGGAGGGCAGGCGTGGGAGGGGCGGGTCTGGAGGCCGAGACCCGCTGGAGAAAAGCCTTGGGTTGTGCTGGGGGCGGAGGGGGTTCACTGGCGTATCTGCTGGGTCAGTGAGATGTGGGAAAAGGGCCAGCAGGCAGTTTCAGCGAGCTGGGGCGTGAGTGGGTATTGGAGAAAGTGCCAATCAGTGTCTGGAGGTTTAATGGCCTGGGTACCAGCAAGGGCAGATGGCTACGCAGAAAGGAGGCTGGGGCTCTGTCCAGCTCGTGTCTGTGCCCTGGGACACTGGCGGGGGTGGGGGAGGGGTACACTGCAGGAGGTGGGAGTCTCAGCTGCCAGAGCAAAGCCAGAGCAGGCAGCCCAGGAAGTGGAGAGGTCTGTGGTCCAGGGGGCCTGTTTGCGAGTCGTCAGTGGCATTTATGTGGAAGGGGTGCTTTTTTATCGTTGGTGTGGAGACATACATTATCAAGCTTTGGCTGAGTAGAGAGCCAGCGTCTGGCAGACGGCAGGGGCACAGGCCCTCGCAGGTGTGCCCATCCCCACAGAGGGCGACAGAAGAGCCTGCCTCTGCCAGCCCGTGTCTCTCAGGGCTGGTCTCTGGGAAAGGGAAGTGGAGGCAGCAGCTGCCACATTGGGGGCAGCCCTTGGAGTTGTTGAGCGGTTTGTGCTCAACAGTTTGGGAACGAAGTTAGTTCACAGGGAAAAAAATAGGCGTTTGGGGCAAGACACGGCCCAGGTGGGAGGGGAGGAGATGGAGAGAGAGCCGGGGATAGAGCCAGGCTGGGGCTGGAGAGGAGGAATGGGGGGATAGGGTTTCCGTGTGCGTGCAGAGTGCTCGGGGGTGGGGTTGCAGGCGGGGCAGGGGCGTGAGGTGGTGGGAGGGGCTCGGCCATGCCAGAGGAGGAGGGACAGTCTTCACGGTTGGAGCCTGCAGGGGGTTCGGACAACCCTTTGGAGTGACTCCCCCTCCGTGTCCTCCTCAGATGAGCAGAGCTGGAGGGAGGAGGGGCTTGGCCAGTGGTTACAGTTGCGGCCGCCCCGCCCATGGCTCTCTGGCTGTGATTGCTAGAATGGAGTGTTTTCTCCAGCCCTTGACTCCTTCGTCCCCCCCCACCCACCCCCACCCCACGGATGTGAGACAGGAGAACTGTCCCACGGGAGGGAGTGACGGTCACAGCGCTCCAGCACACGGGGGTGGGACACATCGGGGGGATGTGCTCTTCGTCGATGGCCCCTCTGCCACTTCACACAGCGGCTCTTTGGAGGGGCGTGGCTTCGCTGGCCGTTTCAGGGGGTTCTGGCTCTCACTGCACACAGGTACTTTCGACTGCACCTTAGGGTTTGGCAGGGGGTGGCCAGTGGAAAGCATTCGTTTTCACTGTTCCTATGTGATTTTGTCAGGGTTGGTCCTACCTGTGTCATTTCCAGTATTCACATGAGGGTGAAGAGTGTACTCCAATGTAGTAGTTTTTCAGTTTGTTAGGATTGGGGGGTCAGCACCTGGCTGCTGGGGGTCAGGCTGTGTACCTCAGTCTCACACATCCCAGTAAGGTAAGTCCTGCTGTTTCTGCTGAGAATGCGTGTAGTCGTGTTGCTTAGTGGTGTTCTGGGTGTGGAGGTCAAGGCTAGACCTCTGCACTCTGCCAGGTAGGTGATATGCGGAGTTCTTTATTGACTTTTGGGGGTCAAATCTAGGGCAGTGTAAGCTGCAGACAGAGCCCATCGGTCTTGACCCGGACAGTAGGCCCTTCAGACCGTCTGGGTCTGGCTACCCTGAACTTCCCCTGTGGTGTTCAAGGTGTCTCCGACTACCTGGGTGGGAGCTGGGTTTTGTCCCTCAGGGCCAGCGCGGTGATGCGTCCCCAGAGTTGGCGCTGGAGAGAAGGCTCGGGTGGTGGGACTGGGCTGAGGCCCTCCGGGAAGCTGGGGTCCTCATCACCCAGAGCGCACGGTTCTGTGGTTGTTTCAGACAAGGAGTTCACCGTGCGGCTGGAGACGGAGAAGCGCCTGTACACCATGGGGGAGCCGGTGGAGTTCAGGTGCATCCTGGAGGCCCAGAGCATCCCCGACCGCTACTTCGCCGTCTCCTGGGCCTTCAATAGCTCGCTCATCGCCAGCATGGGGCCCAACGCCGTGCCCGTCCTCAACAGCGAGTTCGCCCACCGGGAGGCCCGGGGGCAGCTGAAAGTGGCCAAGGAGAGCGACAGTGTCTTTGTGCTGAAGATCTACCACCTCCGCCAGGAGGACAGCGGGAAGTACAACTGCCGGGTGACGGAGAGGGAGAAAACGGTCACCGGGGAATTCATCGACAAGGAGAGCAAGCGTCCCAAGAACATCCCCATCATAGTGCTCCCCATCAGTAAGTGGAGAGATGCGCGGCCTCCTTCACCTCCTCCCACCGGTCTGGTCCCGTAGCTCGCTTCCCTGGGAGAGGCGGGGAGAAGAGACAACTGTGCTGGAGGGCAGGGCAGGGCAGGGCAGGGGGAACTCTGGGGTTCCAGCTGGCAGAGAAGCCCGGTTAACTGCTCCCCTTCTCCAGCTCACCTGCCTGCCCTTGGCAAGCCCCCAGGAGGGCAGGGCACCAGGGCTGTGTTTGCACCTGGGGCGGGCGCCGCAGACCCCCGCACTGGCAGCCTCAGCCCAGCTGGGAGGCATTCAGGACAGCTGTTCGCTCCTGTGTGGGGATGAAGTCCCCACTTCTTCAGAGGAAGTGGGGAGATGCTGGTCTTGACCTCTTACTTAAGAGGGCGGGTCTTTTATGGGAGCATTTGAAATCATAAAGCTCCTTATTCAGAAGGATTTGCTGTCTGGGTTTTGAGGGTAGAAGGGTTGGCATTTCCCTCACTGTTCCTTCCCTGTCGAAATTGTGTTTTTAGAAGCCAGTGGCTGGGGTGTCTCCCGTCTTCCTGCAGCACAGACTTTTAAAGCCACGCTGCCTAGGTGGGCTCCCTGCCCCCGTGGAAGCTGGCGTTGTCTGGGTGGGTCACGGCCACGGCCACGGCCGGGCCTCGGGGGTCTGACAACCGGTGTCTGCCTGTGTTTAATCATCCGTAGAAGCAGGATATTCTCATTAATATCTCATTTCTCTCACAGTTCTATTTTTAGTAAAAGAAGAATTAAAAACCTTACAATGCTCTGATTTTAAACAAGATGGAGAAGTTTTCAAACTAACCATTAACCTTTCCTCAGCTGCTCAAACTGTTCTTTCTCTTACCGTTGCCGTGATTCCCTTTTTCATTTTTATTTACACTCTTATATTTTAATACAGTCCTCTTCGAGTACGAAGAGAAAAAAAACACAGCGGTCTTGCCACTCTTTTTTCCTTTTCCCACCAATAGGATTACTTTCTGTTGATGCTTTTTTCTTTTAAATCACACACACACACCTAATTATCTTGAAATTCTTTTGTTACTAGATTTTTCCCTCCCTGCAATGCCTAGCATGGTGCTTTGCATAGGGTAGGTGCTTGCTGAATATTTGTAGAATGGAAATTGTGGAATTGAATGCCCACTCTCTTTAATATTTTCCTGTTGGTCAGTGCTTGCTTTAACCAGGGACTCTCTGCTTTAAACTTGCAACTAATTCCTCGTTGTTTTGTAAGGATCCAATGAAGGGCAGCCACACTGTGTACTTCCTATATCTTTTGTGCTAAGAGATTTCCCCCAGCCCCTTCCAAGAACTTGTTTGATGATCTGTGGCCTGCTATATTGCTTTTCCAGCAGATGACTGGGTAGTTAAAGTCCCCCAGAACCACCAGATCCTGCCCCAAGGCCACTTGGGTAAGTCTACCAAAGAACATAATCAAATCGGTAATGGTGCTAATACCTTCGATTTTAATGGCGCTTTTCTTCCTGAGAGCCCAAAGTGCTCCCGCATCTATCATCCCCTTCTCCCACCCCCCAAGTCCCTGTAGAGGCCAATATCCTCTCCATCCTGTGAAGGAAGAAGCCAGAGCACCGTCCGGAGATGTGGCTGAGCCAGTTCCGTTAGTGGTCAAGCTTGCGTTGCATTAGAAATGTTTGCTTCTAACTCCACAGCCACCGCTCTGCGCTTAGCCTGTGCTACAGCCCCCACCTCCTGGTCTGAGAGCTCCTTCGCCGACACGCACTCAGAGTCTCGTTAGTTCTCTCCTAGTCTGCACTTACCCCGGGGTGTTATAAATTGTCCGCCACCTCTTCTCAGGCCCCGGAACACTTGTAAATAGTCTCACCGGGTGACGTCTGCATTTGCCTTTGCCTGGGCTGACGGAAGGGTTTGTTTTCTCACAGTCCCACGTTCTGATGGTGCCGTTTTCCAGGCTTCTACAGCGACAGAGCACCAAACCGCAGCCCCCCTGATAACAAGCCAGGGCTTACACAAGAGTCCGCTGGCTGACAGTAGGGGATGGGAGTGATGCCCTGCAGGTCCTTCTTCTGATTAAGGCCAGGGAAGGATTTGTTACCCTTTTAATTCCTCACTCGGAATTGGTAACACTGGGGATGAGTCTTTAATCTCAAGAGGAATATTGTTACTATTAATGATGAGATGAAAAACAATGACCTCATCTAATACCCTCAGTGCCGTGACCCTGCGAAGTAGGAACTGCTGGTATCAATCTCCATTTTGCACATGAGACTTTAAGGCTGGGCTGGGGTTAGGTGGGAACCCACGACCCCAGACGTAGAGCCCAGGCTGTCTCCAAACCCTCGTTTTCAGCCGTTGGTGCTGTCGATGCCGGCTCAGCAGGAGCCTGATCGCCTCCACGAACCCCAGTGGTGTGGCTCCGGAGGTTGCCCTCCTGGGAACATTCACCTTGTGCAGACGTTTTTGTTTTTTTTTTTGTTGGTTCACTTTTGCTTTTCATAAGACAAGCCGATCCAGACTGAGGAGGAGGTATACTCACCCAAACCAGAATGCATGCAGGGGCCCAGTGCTCATCTGGGCCTGTTTCTGCCCGTTGGGGGGAGGGCACATAGGGGAGGAAAGACCGCGGCCAGTGCCCGTCACGGGTGTGGGCATGTCTCCCCGAGGTCACTGGGTGTGCCTCCGAGTCAGGACTCCATTTCACTGACCGAGTCAACGTTATTGCGTCTGCTGCATGTGGGTGGAGCCCAGAAAATTGGAGCCACATGAGTTATGGTATTTTGGGTTCCCTTGTACTTATTATGGCTTTTTGAACTTAAAATACATAACTTTACACAATGTCATACTCATGATTGAGACAGATTAGAATATCCATGATGTTTATAGAAGCAAAGGGTTATTGGCAACGGTAAAATCAGCCGTGATCATGGTGACCAATTTTTGAAAACTCAGTATGTTCTAGGTGATTTGTATACATGTCTCATTTATTTTTTTAATCTTTAAAAAACTACATGAGGTAAATAACACTCTCCCCATTTTATGGACAGAGGCATGTAGAGTGTAAATAGTCGGATTGAGTGAGTTCGCACCGCGAAGTGGGCAGCAGAGGAGCTAAGGCGGTAGAATCCTTACCCCAGATGTCGATTGGCCCAGTGTGTCAAGGTCAAGAGCAGTGGAACCCCAGTGGCTTAGGTCTGTTCCCCAGTGTTAACGGAAGGGCGAAAGCTCGCTCCCCGCACACCCTGTGAAACTAGACCGCCTGTGCCCGACAGTGTCCTCCCCCCAGCACACGACACTTCCAGATACTTCCTGTCATTTGTTTTCTGCTCCCTCGCACTGTCCCGAAGGACTCACACGGCACACGCTGGATGTCAGCTTTTATTTGACGGCTGTGACGCTGGATGGCCGGAGTAGAATTTTGTAGTAATTTAACGTAACACAAACCCAAATTGAAAACCCTCGAACCCCACTGAACAGGTCGCCTGGCGCATTAATCGCTCTGTGCCCTCAGCACGGCGGCGCTGTGTCACATCGCTCAGGCTCTCATTCAGCCCCGGGTCTCGGACGCTCAACGTCCTTGCCCTCCACGCCCAGCACAGGCCTCCTAGGTTATCAGAGCCAGGCTCAGGGGGGCAGGCCCAGAACCCGCAGGGCGACCCCCGCCAGGGTCAGTGCTTCATCCGCCAAGGCTCGCTGCACCGGAGGATGGCAATGACCCCCATCCCCCTTTTACCTTCTGCGTCGGCGGGGAGGGCGCCCTCGAGACCCGATGGCCCCAGCATGCGCTCTCTCCCTGTCTGCAGAGAGCAGCATCTCCGTGGAGGTGGCCAGCAACGCCAGTGTCGTCCTCGAGGGTGAGAACCTGCGCTTCTCCTGCAGCATCCGCACGGCGGGTAGGCCTCAGGGCCGCTTCTCTGTCATCTGGCAGCTGGTGGACAGGCTGAACCGGCGCAGCAACATCATGTGGCTGGACCGGGACGGCACCATGCAGCCGGGCGCCTCCTACTGGGAGCGCAGCAGCTACGGGGGTGTCCAGATGGAGCAGGTGCAGCCCAGCTCCTTCAGCCTGGGAATTTTCAACAGCAGGAAGGAGGACGAGGGCCAGTACGAGTGCCACGTGACCGAGTGGGTGCGGGCCGTGGATGGCGAGTGGCAGGTCGTGGGGGAGCGGCGGGCCAGCACCCCCATCTCCATCACGGCTCTCGGTAAGTGAATGTCCCAGTCTTTCACCGGGACCGCTGGGGAGGCTGCCCCCATGTCAAGAACCTCACCCTGACTTGTCACTCAGAGTCCTGCCAGGAAATAGAGGCGTCTTCAAAGGGTTTACTGGAAGGAACACTCTGTGGAGGTGCAGGCGAGGTTGAAGGAACCAGCAAGGCACAGCAGGGCCCCTGGGGGCCCATGACACTGGGAGCCGTTAGCACTCGTGGGTCTGGGGGGTGGGAGTGAAGTTATAAAACGTCTGGCTGGAGGAGCGAGGCCACTCAGCCGGAAATAGTGGCCCTGGGTAGTGGAAAGTGGCCGTCTTCACAACCAGTCTGAAGGGCAGGAACAAAGCCACGAAGCTGCTCTCTCCTGCCCCCCTCCCCTGCCCCTGGGCTCTCCTGCCTGCTGCCCGGGGATGAGCCCTCCTGAGAAGCTCAGAGCAGAGCAGGAAGGGGTAGAGAATCACCTGTAGCCACTGACTTAGCGTTTCCCACGTTCCTGGCTGAGTCTGAGCCCCTAGCCGAGAGGTGGGCCTTTCACTCTACAGGAGACCGAGTGAGACCGGTCAGCTCACCTGCTCGGGGCTGCAGCTTTTAAATGACAGGCCCATGGCGGGGACTCAGGAACCAGCGATCTGTCTTAATTTTTTTCCAAAGCCCGTGTTTTGTTCTCCTTCTCTCTAGGGCCCCTCCCTAAGAAAGCTATCTCTTCGTTAGCAGGAAATTAAAAGATACCTTGAGATTTGCTAAAACCAAAGAATATTAGATTTGTTTCTTAGGGGGTACTTAAAGAAGCTTCTGTCAACGTTTATCTGCCTAATGCGATCAGCGTGTCACATTCTAAAAGGTAGGCTGCTCCTCTGCTGGGAAGGCAACTTGCACTGTTGGCCGTCTGTTCATCAGGAGACCCTGACGTCTCTTGTCCTCGTGACTTTGTGTCCCCTCCTTGAGACCCCGTTCCCTCCTTCCCCGAGGGTGGGGCTGCTGGTGCTGTTGAACATGCCGCAGCCCTGAGTGGTTTTGCCCCCCACAGAGACCTCCATTGCCACGAGACCCCCAGCCTAGAATGGTGTTTACCTTCTAAAAACTTAATCCCAAAGATGGACCGGCTTGCTGCAGGAATCACACAGTTCATATTTCTGTCTCCAGAAACCACCCAGCGTGGAATTTCCTGACCAGCTTGGTCCCTGGGCTGCGCTCAGCACCTGCGTGCGCCCCGTGGGCGTGGAACCTGGGAGGAAAGTGGTGGTTTCCCACCCCGTGTGGTTAGGGATTTCTGAGGAGTGGTTAGAGGTAGTTGGGACTGTTTCTCGAGAAGTGCTTTTATGGTTCCAGGTTATCCCCTGAACTTTTTCATACTTGACACGTAGTTCCCACAGCCAGGGGCTCTGACCTGGGATCCCGGGGGCTGGTTCTGCTCACCTGGTCTCCCCCCATGGGGTGCTTCTGGCTAGAGCCATAACCATAGCGGCCCGAGGGTGTGGAACAGGGAAAGTAGGAGGGCACCCTGGAGTGAGGTCCCCTTTCCAGCCTGAAGTAAACAGCGGCAGACAGGTTTTCATACCAGCACAACTGAGAAATGGGTCCCCCTCCACAGGGAGGTGACAGGGACCGGCGCCCAGGGGAGGTATTAGGTGGGTGCAGTCTCCAGCTGCACCTGGGACGTATGCCTGTTCAGTTAGGACAGCTCGGGTGCTCTGTGCACTGTGACCGTGCTGTGTGCCGGGCCGGGCCAGGACAGTCAGCTGCTCAGAGACGCGCCCTCCCCTCCGGGAGTTGAGGCCCTGTGCCCGGCCGTCCTCAGGGCAGTGTGTTCTGCACACAGGCGCACGAGGGACCATCCCACCATTTCCTGTTTGAGGGTGGGCCTCTGTATGTTACCTTTTCAAAAACTAGGAAACGTAAAGATAGCTTGTGAAATGTGGATGGAAGACCCTGAGCCTTTAGCAGGTCATGCCTCCCTGTTTGCCGACTTGGCCTCCCACAGAAAGCCAAGGGGTTCCTTCTGTCTGTAGTCTCTTTTAGCTCCAGAATTTAAAGTCCTCTCCTTTACGGCTCTGTGCTTAATGAAATACATGCATTTTTTTTTAATGTCATTTATATTCGGTGTCAGGTACTATCCCAGTCTTTTATAAATTTGAACTCCTTTAATCTTTGCATGGACCCATTTCGCAGATAGAGGAATGGAGGCAGAGAGAAGTTAAGTAACCTGCACAGTGCCACACAGCTAGGAAGTGTCGGAACTGGGCAGCTGGCTCCAAGGCCTACGCCTTTAACCCCTGCCTCGGGCTTCCCACGGGACACGCAGCCTAATAAGGTCCCTGGAATCAGCGGGTCTGTAGCCTGACGCTGCTGTTGTCACAGGCAGCTTGACCCTGGGCAACTTATGTAACCGCTCTGTGCCTCGGTGTCCTCACTGCTGAAAAGGGGTGATTAGCCTACCTGTCCTCCAGGTCGTTCTGAGGATACAGTGAAGTGTGGGGAGGGCAGGGCAATTGACACCGTGCCTGGCTCAACGGTCGTGCCCAGTAAATAGTGACCGCTCAGGTGTAGGGCTATAACCACCATGTGCATGTGAAGGCGTAGTCCAAGGCTGGAGGGGTTGGGGTCACCCATGCTGAGGACCAGGCTGTTTCTCGTTCCGCAGGGAACGTGGAGAGGCTCAGCCCGCCCAGGGCCCCACCAGCTGGAGATCTCTGCCTCCTGCTGGGGGCCCCTCACCGCCCCTCCTCCCTGGATTGCACGAGGAAAGTGGAAAGGGACTGGTGACCCAACCCGTGCTGCCTGGCCTGGGAACACGGGACACCCCTGCACCTGTCCTGTCCCCCTTCCCCAGAGCCGATGCACCGGTGGGCCAGGCAGAGGAGGCCTTGGGTCTGGGGTGATGCGGTCATTTCACAGGGGATGAAGATAATAGCTCTGGGGCCCTTTTGTCCTGCATTAGCCCGGAATCCCGAGATTTCTAGGAGCGGCCCTGCCGAAGAGACTGAAGGGACTGCAAATCGAGATAGGTCCTCCGACTTCCGAACCCAAACGGCCATCACGAGGCCATCGGGAGGGCTCCATCAGGGAGGGGTCAGTAGTGCTGCTCAGGGAGAACTGCCCTGGCCTTCTCCTGTGGGGTCTCGGGAATGGTGGGTTCATGCCACCACGTGATAGCTCACGTGATACTGGCCTGGGCGCCAGAACGGACCCCTGAGCCTTTGCTCTGACCTGCCAGCCCTTGCCAGGAGCCCTGTCGCTGTGTCACACCGCCCTGAGAAAGCCAAGCGACTCCCCTGGCTTGAGCCCCTCTGCTCTCTCTCCAGAAACGGGCTTCGCGGTCACAGCCATCTCCCGCACGCCAGGGGTGACCTACAGCGACTCCTTCGACCTTCAGTGCATCATCAAACCCCATTACCCAGCCCGGGTCCCCGTGTCGGTGACCTGGCGGTTCCAGCCGGTGGGCACCATCGAGTTCCACGACCTGGTGACCTTCACCCGGGACGGAGGGGTCCAGTGGGGGGACAGGTCCTCCAGCTTCCGGACCCGAACGGCCATCGAGAAGGCCGAGTCCAGCAACAATGTCCGCCTGAGCATCAGCCGAGCCAGTGACACGGAGGCGGGCAAGTACCAGTGTGTGGCAGAGCTGTGGCGACAGAACTATAACAGCTCCTGGACGCGGCTGGCCGAGAGGACCTCCAACCTGCTGGAGATCAGGGTGCTGCAGCCAGGTGAGCGGCTCGGGCCCAGGTGTCTGTCGCCGGGTGACCCGACACTGGGGCAGCAGGGCGGTGGGGGGGGGGTGCGGAGCAGTACACACGCACGCACGCACTGAGCCCTTGGTGTGGCCGCTGGGACCTCCCGACGTCGGATGCTGAGAAATTTCAAACCTGTGGGAAGTTGAAAGAACCGTTTCCCCTTTTCTTCATGGCCAGTTGCTAGTGTCTTACATTTGTTTTCTGTGCGTACTTTGTCACTGTTGTTTTGGAAGCGTCTGAGGACACGTTGATGACCTCGGGGCACTCCCTCCTGAACACTGGAGCACACATCTAAGAACAAGGCCACTTACGATTGTTGGGCGTTACTGACATTTTCCCAATTGTCCCAGATGCCTCGTTCCGTCTCTTTCCTTTCCAAACAAGTCCGGTCTGTCCACTCAGATTTCTTTGACCTATAGTACCTCCCTGGCTGGGCGTGTGATCTGAGGCACTGGCATTCAGGAAAGTGTCCAGACCGCCTGTTTTGCAAGAAGCTCTGTCTCAGGGTCATCTCCTATAACCCTTGCAATACTGACGTGAACAAGGTCCTGTTGTCCCCAGTGTGCAGGCAAGGAACCTCGGATTGGAGAGGGAAGAGGAACCTTACCCAGGTCCCCTAACTTGGTCCCATACTGGGGACCTGCTTTGTGCTAAGTGCCCAGGGTGGCTATTTCATTAGAATTTTGCTGTCACCCGGGAAAGACAGACTGGCACAGTGTCACGAAGCCGATGAGTGGTGGAGCTAGGGTTTGATCCCTTGCTGCCTCTCCCTCGCTGGGTTCCTGACCCAGCCCTGTCCTTGTGTGCCGGGTTTGAGCTTTCTTCTCCCGTGGGGCAGAGTCTCTCTTACAGCAGGTGGTGAGGAGGCAGTCACTTGGGGAGTCCGGTGGGGGGGTGGCTTCTGCAAATACTCTCACCTTCCACAGGCCCTTCCCCTAGCACGGGAGCGGGCAGGTGCGTGCCACCGCTGTGGTTTCCTCGGGTCTGCCTGCCCGCCTGGCTGCTCGGTTGGGAGCCGGGCGAGGGGGGAACCAGGCCGTGCATGGTCCTGCCCCCAGGCCCTGGAACAGAGGAGTGCAGGCGTCCACCCACGCAGTGAACAGAGGAGGCTGGACAGGAGGTGACTTTGCGAAGACTTTTTCCTGACTCTGACACACCCCCTTTGTGAAGATGGTTCCAACACCTTGCGAAAAGGCGTTTTCTTTACGCTCTCAGCCATAGCTAGCGTCCAGCCCCCTTCAGGCGGCCAGTGTTGTTGTCAGCAATGCCAGGGTAGAGGATGGTCATGTCCAAGTCTACTCTTCGCTCTTCTGTCCCCCTAAGGAGTCCTCTTCTGTCCTGGAGTCTGGAGCAAACAAGTTGCATAAGTAAAGAGACCGTTCCTTGGCCAGTTAGAGCCTAAACCCGGATGACAGGGTGCTCGGGAAGAGCTGTTCTGCTTAAGTGGATTTCCAGGGTGATGGAGAGTTAGACGGAGACCTCATTTCCTGTGAGCCCTTGTTGTGGGAAGTGCCTAGGGACGCACTTGTGAGCCTTCCCGAGTGGAACTTCAAGGTCGTCGTTGCACCTACTGTGGCCTCCTCTGGCCCTCAAGGTCGGCACTGTGAGCGGCGGCGCCTGTCACTGGCTCTGCAGCCCTAGAGGGCAGAGGAAGCGCCCACCCCAGGACCTTGCCTGGCACTGCCTTTTTTTGCAAAAATCTCTAATATTTTCTTGTTTCTGTGGCTCCTTGGAATCTAGGACTGGAGCTCGTCAGAGAACACTAAGGAATTAATTTTTGGAAGGTTCAAGTTATTTCAATTCTGATCCGTCAGGGGCGTACTGGAAAAGATAAGGGACAGAAACGCGCCCAGTACCCTGTGGGTGCCGGGCTTTGTGCTTGGTGCTTATGTTTTCTCTTTCAGCTCATCCGTCAGTGAGGTGGTGGAGATGCTTGTATTTCCACTTTGGTCTCCCCAGGGGGACACCAAGGCCCCAGGTGTTGGGCGGCCTTGGCGGCGGCTAGCCAGCTTGGTAGGTGGGAACCTGGCGCTGGACCTGAGGTTGGAGCCCAGGTCTCTCAGACGTCCCCGTGTCTCCACTCCCCCTCATCCCACCGTGTTGCCTCCTGGTGGGAAAGGTAGCTGGAGAGCGAGGACCTGCCCTGTGTGTCTGCGAGGACTGTCTCTGTGTCCGGTGTGGCTCCTGCCGAGTCGGCCGTTTTGTGTCTTCACCGTAAAGAAAGGATCTGCGGTGCTGTCGTGCTCGGTGGTTCACGGGGAGGCCTGCGCCCAGAGGTGCCCAGTAATGCACTTGCGCTGAGGCCGTGCCCTCCAGGGAGGGGCTGAGGCACCCAGAGAGTGCATCCCTTAAGTGTTACTGTCTCTCCTTTATTAAATATTGATGCTTTAGCACTTAATATCTCCCAAAGAGCTTCATGTTTGCTGTTGCTGTTTCCCACACACTCTGGCTGGTACAGGAGCTTTTATTTGGGGGACACAGAAGTGGAAGAATACTCGAGGGCTGGCGCTGCGCCCGGACCGCGTTGGATGTGTGGTGTGGGTAATCTTCCCTCATCTTCCCCGAGGGCCTGGGAGGAAGGCGTGGCTTTGCTGTTCTGTAAGTGGAGTGACTGGGGCTCAGGAGGCTCCGGCTTGCCTAGGTCAGAAAAATAGTGAGTGGGAAGTTGGGACCTGAATGTGGGGTGCCTTATTAAAAAGCAGTTGAGGACTTTGACCCTTTTTAAGGCCTTGTCATCAAAAATTATTCCTCTGCATCCATTCACCATCTCATTGACAGAAGAGGTCACTCTTTTTCAATTTTTTAAAAATGTATTGATTTCAAAGAGAAAGAGAAAGGGGGAGAGAGAGAAACATCGATTTGTTGTTCTACTCATTGGCGCATTTGTTGATTGATTCTTGTATGTGCCGTGACTGGGGATCAGACCCACAACCATGGCATATCCGGCCAGGGCAAGAGATCCCTCTTTGTAGATGACTGATGTGAGCAGTCCCAGCCCTGGTGGCCGTAACAGTAACAGCAATAGCAGTAATACTTGTTGGGCATTTCCTGTGTGCCCATCGCCGCCCTGAATGCTGTGCACGTAAGCACTTACTTAGTTCTCACTCATCCATCCAGTGCTGTGGGGGCGGGGAGGGGGCTGTCTCACCCATTGTAGAGATGAAGATACTGACAGAAAGCCTAAATAAATTATCCGCTGAGCCACAGGAAGAGGCAGAGGCCAGAGTCAGAGCCAGACAGGCAGTCTGGCTCCAGAGTCCAAGCTCTTGATTTTATTAGACAGCATTATGGTGTTTTCTAGACAGTTATTTTTTTTCCCCTCAGGAAGCTCCTTTGGTGCCATGTACTTTTCTTCAATTTCTATTCTGTCTGGTTCACTGTCCCTGACTTCCTGACCTCCTTTAGCACATACTTAAACTTGTTTTTTTTTAAGTTGGGGCACAAGATACCCATAGAGGTTCCTCAAAACACAGTTTGACAGCAGGGCAGGAGTTTAATTCATGCCTCCTCTAACTCCGCCAGTCCTTCTAATTCCTGCCACAAGGTGGCTCTAAGACTTGGGGACACCGGAGCTCAAAGCCGGGGCTGGCTTCTCTTCTTTCTCCTCTCCCTCCACACTTTGCCCCTCAAAACATGGCTTCTTGTCCCTCCTGTGGCGTCTTCCGTGGGACAGTCCCCCACTGCCTGTCCCGCACCCCGTTTTTAGAGTATTTTGCTGAATATTCTCATTCTAACAGAATCCACTAGAGACCGAGGACTTCCGGCTCACCGGCCCATTCATCCGCCTCCCGCTGCCACTGTCACCGGCTCCCCAGAAGGCCCCATGCGGTCTGTGCCCCCGGCCGGCCCTGGCCAGAGCCGCCTGCTGGCCTGACCGCATCGCAGGTCCTCCATTCATCAACCTCTCTGGCTGGATGGCACCATCCATCCGTTGCGGATGCATTATCGACCGTTCTGTGCGTGCTTCCAAGTCAGTGTGCATGCCCCCGGGGAAGGGGCCTGCAGGGAACACCATGGTCCTGTTCTGTTGTGGCTGCGGCTCAGCCTGCTCCCGTGGATGGCAGAGTGGGGCCCCCAGGGGCATTTAGGCAAGGCTGTAAGCCAGTTCCACATACTCAATTCTTAGCTCTTAATTCTTTTTTTTAAAAAAGATTTTATTTATTTATTTTTTAGAGAGGGAAGGGAGGGAGAAAGAGAGAGAGAAACATCAATGTGTGGTTGCTGGGGGTCATGGCCTGCAACCCAGGCATGTGCCCTGACTGGGAACCGAACCTGCGACACTTTGGTTCCCAGCCTGTGCTCAGTCCACTGAGCTATGCCAGCCAGGGCCTCTTAGCTCTTAATTCTTATCTCTTTGAATTTGGAAGCATCACTTTGCTTCCTTCTGGTTTTCTGTAGCACCAGAACAGTGTCCGAGTACATGTTCCAAAACACAGAAGCAGTGGGGATGTGTCAGCACCCATTCTCGGACGTTTACGGCCACACCTCGCCTGGCTACTGAATATTGCACAGGGAAATCGACAAAGCAATCAACAGGCCTCCAGGAGGACAGCCTCCGGTGGAGAAAGCCGTCAGGGGATGTATTCTGCTGGGATTGCACTGATGAGCAGTCGGGATGAATATTTAATACCCTCTGGATGCTTCCAAATCTGTTTTCTCCAGTTTCTGAGTGCTGACCTAGCAGATAGGCAGTGCTGAGGGCTTTTTCTTTGACTTCTGTGAGTCCAGGGCATGTGACAGTGGCTCTCCTTGTCACACAGTCTAGTAGGTGACAAGCTGCCTCAGCCTTTAGAGGGATTAGCCCCAGCTTTCTTTCAGGAAGATCATGGGGTTCTTCTTCTACCCAGTGCACGTGGCTTCTGCCTGCTGGGTGCTCAGAGGTGGAGGGGCATGAGGGCAAGAGCCCTCGAGGAGCCCCAGCCTCCTGCCCCCCTCGGGCCTCGGTGTCCTGGTGACGCCAGGTGCACCTGTTT